CTGAGCCCATAAAGGTGTTGGAAAATTAAAAAATAAATAAGCAAATGTCTTACTCTGTAAAATTCAGACTGAATGTAATCAGTTATGCAAAAGAGCATGGAAATAGAGCTGCAGAGAGACCATTTGGACCTCCTCCCACTGAGTGTAGGTAAATGTTACCTAATTACTAAATAAAAATGTGTTCTGCTTTATCTTTAAAATATTGATTTCTTAATTTTGGGTTGGAAAAGTGGGGGTTGTCTTATACATGGGGGCGCCTTATTGATGGAAAAATATGGTAAGTAGGCAGAGTCTCAATCAGGTTGCAAGCAAGTGCATTTGCTATTGATCAAGAAACATGGAGAATGGCTTTATAGCAGCAAACTCAAAACTTTAGCTTTACATAGTTGAAGTTTATGTTGCCCTTATGGTTTGCTGGTCTAATGACCGCACTGGAAGTTCTTGTGTTTGCTAAGTTGGTAAATCCAAAAGATAGAAATTTGGAAGTGAATACCTAAATATTAGAAATTCTTACCTTATTAATCTCCCATTAATTTTCCAGTTATGCGTATAGCCTTTTTTTTTTTTAAGTAACAACTAGTATCTTTGTTTTTAGAGTAACTGGTTTCTAATTTTTCCCTAAAGTAGAAAGATGCTAGTACACCAAAGCACCTGTGGAGGCCAACTTGAAACACAGAGAGGGCAGCCTCATTATCTGTAGACAGTAAAATAAGCCTCTAGGAGAGAGTTCAGTTTTTGCTAGGTCCAATAATGTGTCATTGATATAAAAAATAACTAGGAAGAGGGCCATGATACAGTTCTAATATACTCCTTTTAGGTAGTATAGAAAACAGGGGCAGTCGTTTTGCCGCTGCTCCTACTTCTGATTTGCATAAACAACATCAGTTTAAGAAGGTGCTATTTGATTGATAAAGTGATTAGCTTTGGCCACAGTCTCTCTCAGGGAATTGAGTCAACAGCTGCCTTCAGATCAACGAAGGCAGCATAGAGAGAGCTCTTTGGGAAGTTGGAATACTTCTCAGTAAGAAGATATACACTGATCTGGTGAATATCAGGTCTAAATCCTGATTGTTCTGCCACTAAGACCATTCAGTTAGCAAATTTATAATAGAGGTGTTTTTCATAGAGCATGCTAATTATATATAGCAAGGTAATTGGATAGTAATTAACCAGATTATTCATATTGCCTTTTTTGTAGATTGATACTATAATGATGTAACTACAGTCTTTAGTAAGGAATTAATTCTGGTAAGCAGATAGGCTAGTTCAGAGGTCCGCAAGTCAGATTTTATTTTCAAGAATTCTGGAGGAATTAAGTCCCCCCCCCTTTGAGACAGGAAGCCAGTCAAGCAAAAGGTTAGAGATTACAGAACGTGGGTCTCTTCACTGGTTATTGTACAAAGTATGCCACAAAAGTGTGTGACATAGATCTTAGGTAAGATTGAATTATTAGTGTTAAAACTGGATCTAACTGTGATATAGGAAACAAGATGCTGGAGCAGGCTGTCATTTTTATTAATGACTGCTTATAGGAGCCCCTCCCAATTCATTAGCAAGTTGATCTGCCTTTTCCTTCTCTGGAGAATCTTGTACTCTTTTTTCAGTGAGGAAAAAATTGCTTAGGATTGCAGGTCATTCTAATGTCTTGTGGTTCTGTCGGTTATAATCACTGCAGCCTTTGCTAAATTTTAGCATGTTTTATACTGAGCCAGGGTTTGGTGGGCTTATTATGGTAGTTCTGTACAGGGGAGGAAGCAATACATTTATATACTGTTTTTTAGAAGGAGCAAGAGAACAGAATAAAGCACCAGATTGGGGAAGACCTATATTTTGTATGGCTCCTCTAATAACCTTTTTGATAGGTTTTTTTTCTATAAATAGCAAGTACATTTTTTTTCTTCTTTTACTTCAAACAATGCCCATTCTTTCATCATAACAGTCCCATAGCCTTTACTTTGAACGGAAGACATCTAGGATAAAAATCTGCATATGTTCTATCGCTGCCTAACAATAGCTCATGATGTTTTACTAGTGCCAAGCTATCCAATATGTCATAAAAGCAACAGCACTTAAATAACGGGTCAGGAGCTGTAGATGGATAACTGCAATATTGGAGAGGCTTATTATACACTCAGTGGCATTTTATATAGCATAGTTTATGCTTTGTAAACAACATCTGATTATGATTAGAATTTGGAACCAAACAGGCTGTTTATCAGTGTGTAAAAGTATGCATACTGTAGTTTTAATATTTTAATTCTCAGTTCTGACAGATAATTGAATGGCATGAAGGGAACTTTACTGTTCTGTCATGTGTGACCATAAGACTGCCTCCAACTATATAGAGCCTTCTGTGTTGTGTACTAAAAATGTTCATAATTACACCATTAAGAATGATCTCTCTGTGTTGAGTTGTTCTACTGCATTCTGACTTAAGGAAGGACATTTTCTTGGATTCTTTGTTTTTGTGAAAGACTTGAAGCAGCTGTTCAAGGAATTGTGGATTTCTATCATGATACAGAGATGGGATATGCTAGATCTTAAGTGCTATTTATAGAAAGAGAGATGAAACTTTATTAAGCTTCCATCTGACTGTGAATTACATTGGTTTTCAGGCTATTTATTCTCTATCAGTTTATCTATATGAGTTGCTTTTTGGCTAAGATTAACTCCCAGAGTAGCTTACATTTAAATCCTAATTTCACAAGATAAAAAGAGTACTATATTGAATAGCTGGAGGTGTACAGTGGGGCAAAAAAGTATTTAGTCAGCCACCAATTGTGCAAGTTCTCCCACTTAAAAAGATGAGAGAGGCCTGTAATTTTCATCATAGGTATACCTC